CGTCGGGCCTCGTGCTCCAACGTGCCAATCCAAACATCGGCACGTCTGCTCATCAGCCTTTCAGCGGGATACTTTACAAAATGACACGTTTCATCCCCTGCCAGTGGTAGAGTGTGGCCTCTCGAACTCATGGGGATTTTTTTTTTTTTTGCTTTTCCCCTCCCCTGAAATGCTAAAAGTGCTTCCCTGCTTCTGCCAAGCGTGCTCCAGATACAAGACAGAGCAGGAAGCGTCTTTTTGTTTTGTTTTCTTTCGTGTGACCTCTGCAACACAAGGTGCCTGTTAAGTGGGCTGCGCACACACTTGACAATCGCACACATTTGTGCAGTTTCCCCGAACTTGCCATCAAAGCCGCCAAAGGCCCGATGATGGCCGTCCGTGCCTCCTGACTGATGCGTGGATGTTTCCAAAAGATTTGTACTTCCTGATTTCCCCGTGTTGCGCGGTGTGCGACGACTGATTCCACCGCTGCCGTCTGCTCAGAAAAGCGGTCCGAGCTGTCAATCGGAAGCGTGAAACGTGGTCAATATTTACGATGGAAAGTCCTCACGTGCACGCTTCACTCCGAGCTAGTCCAAGCTGTGATTGTGATGGAAAATTCAACCATAGCCAATTTTTTTTTTGTTTGATTATCAATAAAAACCAAGTGGCAAAATACCGCAGAAACCGTGCTTCGGCAGCCTCGGCGGAGCGCTCGTCGGCTCTCCGCGGAAGGCGCTTCCTGCCGCCGCGCGGGAGGGCGACCCCTGGAAACGGATTGGATTTTCAAGTCAGTCGACGGAGCCGGCGTTCCCTTACGATGTCACAATGCCTCGCGCCACATCACTGGCGTTATTTACAGAGATCTGACAGCGCCAGACAGAAAACAGAATCATTCCTGCGCAAGCTCCCAAAAACTTAAAGCGCCTTTTGAGTTCTCTTTGAGGTCACCATGCACATATTCAACTTATTGCTTCATACAGCCACGAATGACCTCACTGCCGCTCGGGTTCTGGCCCGAACAAAGAGATCAGAACATCGGACTTAACTCAGCTGTAGAATAGACTTGAGCCCCCCCGCTAGGACTCTGAGGTCTGCAGACTCGGGCCAAGTCGCGGATCCCGGAGTTCAAAGCAAACGCGCTGAAGCAGCATTTCGCCGTTATGCTGCGCGCAAATGGAAAAAGCTGTCGACGGGTTAAAAAAACAACATTGGAAAAATATAGGTTGCCTGCTGTACTTATGATGAAGGTCTTTCGGTTTGGAACGATGCGGTTGGGCGAAGATGATTTTTGTCTTTGCACATCCTGCACATTTTCTCTGACTTGCATACAAATTCAGTTTATGCCATAATGGAAATCCGTTGTCAACTCAGGGCTCCCAATTGCGCACGAAAATTGTTGGGGTCTTTTTTTTTTTTTTTTTAAAGCTTGATGATCGTCAAAAATGTGATCCCATCTCCTCCCCGCTGTGGTCAATCGGTAAAAATGACTCAAGCTTGGATGTGGACCAGCGCACGCTGCAGCATTGAATTCCTTCGCCTTCTTTGATGAGCCCAAAGCGCCCGCTGCATTTCCCGTGAGAAGTCCCAAATTGCATCGCGGGCGAAGCCGTGGCGCGCAGCGGCGGACGTGTGTGATTTCTGCGCGCTTGTCGGAATTAGCCGCGTTTATTTAGTCTCGTCGGGCCTCGTGCTCCAACGTGCCAATCCAAACATCGGCACGTCTGCTCATCAGCCTTTCAGCGGGATACTTTACAAAATGACACGTTTCATCCCCTGCCAGTGGTAGAGTGTGGCCTCTCGAACTCATGGGGATTTTTTTTTTTTTTGCTTTTCCCCTCCCCTGAAATGCTAAAAGTGCTTCCCTGCTTCTGCCAAGCGTGCTCCAGATACAAGACAGAGCAGGAAGCGTCTTTTTGTTTTGTTTTCTTTCGTGTGACCTCTGCAACACAAGGTGCCTGTTAAGTGGGCTGCGCACACACTTGACAATCGCACACATTTGTGCAGTTTCCCCGAACTTGCCATCAAAGCCGCCAAAGGCCCGATGATGGCCGTCCGTGCCTCCTGACTGATGCGTGGATGTTTCCAAAAGATTTGTACTTCCTGATTTCCCCGTGTTGCGCGGTGTGCGACGACTGATTCCACCGCTGCCGTCTGCTCAGAAAAGCGGTCCGAGCTGTCAATCGGAAGCGTGAAACGTGGTCAATATTTACGATGGAAAGTCCTCACGTGCACGCTTCACTCCGAGCTAGTCCAAGCTGTGATTGTGATGGAAAATTCAACCATAGCCAATTTTTTTTTTGTTTGATTATCAATAAAAACCAAGTGGCAAAATCAACATCGTTTTTATGACGAGCAGGGTTGTCGCCATCTGCTGAACGAAACCATGAGAGCAGCTTGTAACGTGCTCCTTTTAAAATCAACCAACCAAAACTCACTTTGTAAAAAAAAAAAAAAAAATGTGTGAAGTAGCTAAATTACTTTGTCAAGCAAGTCATCAGTAACTGAGTTACTTTTACAAGCACACCGGTAGTAGTCAATCACATTCTGCCGCGTAATCTTGTGAAAACATCTAATAAGAACAGAAAAGTTTTTTTTTTTCCTTGATGTGTGAAGTCACCAAAAAAAAAAAAAAAAATCAGGTAAGATGTTCAAAATTGCTGTGGGTGTGTCGTCCGATTTCTTTTCTCCATTTGACAAATTCCAACACGGAGCAGCTCTCCATCTGGGGGTGGGAGTGGCTGTTCCGAGCC